GGGTGAGATTGGAACACATCTGAAGAGGTTTTAATTAAATTCACATTTTTAATTTTAGAAATTGCTTCACATTTAAAGGTTAATTTTTTTTAACTTAATAAAACTGCTTGTACTTCTTTTTTCCAAACTTAAACTAAAAGCAAGATTTCAAAAGAAATTATAAAAGGAAAATTTACAATATATGTTTCCACAACTGGACAATTAAAGTTAATTAATTCGTGAACCAGAGTGCTTAAACTATAACTTGAATCTAAGGAAAGAGAATTTTCACAAATATCAACATCCACTCTGCTTATTATTGATTAGTTCAGTGATCTCAAGATTCAAAGTGAGCTCTCACTAGTAATTACCCTGTTTGAATAGAAGCCAACAACAAACTATATGCATTTTGTATCATGTACTGTGCCAGACCTCACTTACAGGTAATTATAGACACAGGAAAAACACCTGGGTGCCACAGGCCCTTTAAGAGATAACCTGAGCCAGTCTATTTACAGTAAACCTACTCTGTACCAGAGAGTGGTGCAGGGTGAGGCCCTGGTACCAGGAAGAGAGATCTGTGTGTGCTATGCTCTGGCTATGTGGCCTGAGGCCAGCTCTTTAGGGTCTTGTACCTCCATTATCTCACTTTTAAAATGGATATATTAATAGTGATGAAAAGAGGCTTAAATGGGAGGATACAAAGGCCTTAGCAGAAGGGATCAGAAAGTGATAATCCCAATGTGTGGCATTTTCCCAAGCTGAGTTCTCCCAACTGAGAAGCAACTGAGTACTCTGGGACTTTCTTTGAAGTTCCCCTACCCAAAGACCAGGTCTACCACAAGGGAACACAATTGCTTTCTATCCCTTCCCTGATAATTCATCAACCAAGAAACAGTCAACTCATATCACAGAAGAAACTGAAAGTCAAACATCACACCCAAAACCCAGTGAAACTTTGTCCCAGGCCATTGTCTGTTCTGTGGGCCCTTTTACCTCCCCTAAAATTATTTACTCTTCCCATAAAATTGCCCACTCCCCTTTTCCCTCCCCTAGGAAGAGGCCCTTTCTTGAGTTTCATCCTTTATGGGACTCACATGTGCCTGCATGTTAATAAATTCTATGTCTTCTCTCCAGTCAATGTGTCTGTTGTCCACTTGTTTTATAGACTCAAGTTTTTGAACCTTCACAGGGTGGAAAGAAAATTCCTTTCCTCCCTACTGTGCTTAGAACATAGCAAGCCTTCAAATAATACCAGTTATTCATTCATTTACTCAACAAAGAGCTAGTCATTGGGAATAAGGCACTGAAAAAAGAAACAGATACAATTTCCTTCTTTATTGAAATTTATAACCAAGTAGAAAAACTGTATGTAACACTTAAATAGTACTTACTATTATTTGCTATTATTGCTAAGCCAACGGGCCTCAATGCCTCCCCAGGACATTTAACAACTTTGGAGGCAGTTTTAGTTGTCACTACTAGGGGAGAATGGATTCTAATAGTAGACAGAGTCAAGGGATGCTAATGTGTTAGACATCCCACCATACACAAGACAGTCCTCTGTAACAGAAAACCATCCAGCCCAAAATGGATAGTGCAGAGGTGAGAAACCCTGTTTTAAATATTACTGATTCAATTAAACAACCCTATTTGGTAAGATTTATAAGTTTATAACCCTATCTTAATATTTTATTAGTAACCAATTGCAACTTATGTTATAGAAAAAAGTACTATGCCTATATAGATATTTATAGGAATAGTTGTATATATACAAAGGTATATAACATGATATTTGTAAAATAATACTCAATTATATACAGAGCCTTTAAAATGTATATTCCTGGTGTGTGTGTGTGTGTGTGTGCTTAAAAAAAAAGCCACAGGTGACGGATTTTACAAAATAAATTGTCTCCTTTAGATGGAATGAAGATACCCCTGTACTATCTAGATTTTAAACTAAAATCATAAGAAGTGATCTTGTAGTCCACATCAGTGATGATCTGAGCATCAGAACTGGGGAGCTATGTTGTATACTCTTAATATCAGGCAGAAGCCTGGAGATTCAAAAACTAGTGTCATTTTCTCACTGCCTGTTCCATCTCTCAGCAAGTTACTAGCTTCTCTGTGCATTGGAGGTGCACCACCACAAAAATGGGGGTGATGACGTATTTCCTGGCCATCCAGAGAGATGTTAGGCTGAACTGAGGCAATATGTGAAAGTACTATAGTGAGCTGCAGGAGCCTTTACCTCAACCAAACTCACAGCATACAAAATATCCCACTATACTGCCATGGTTTGGATACACATATCCCAAAGGTCCATGTATTGAAGGCATGGACCCCAGCCTGTGGTGCTGCTGGGAGGTGATAGAGCTTTTAGGAAGTGGGGCCTAGAGAGCAGGGTTTTCTAGTCACAGAGGATGTGCTCTTGAAGGGGACATTGGGGCCACAGCCAGTTTTCTCTCTCTCTTTTGTGCTCTGGCAATGAAGCGAATACTTCTGTCATACACTGTCACTATAATGTTCTGCCTCACCAGAGACCTACAAGCAATGGGGCCAAGTAATCTCAGACTGAAACCTTCAAAACTATGGGCCAAAATAAACCTTCCCCCTTTATAAAATGATTATATATGGTATTTGTTACAGTTATGGAAAGCTGGCTAACGCAACCATCATCAAGCAATATGTATTGAGTGATCACTTTCCTTTCATTGTAAATATACTCATTTAGGCCTCTCCACAGCCCAAGAGACAGGCATCCTGAACATTATAAGTTGAAATTAAAGAACATGGGGCCCAGGTTAGGGGTAACCTGCCAAAGGGCACAGAACAAGGCTTGCCACTCTGCAGCTAGTTCCAAAGCACGCCCTGTTACCCAGTAGAGGCTTCGTTTTCTGTTGTTTAAGGAATTTGGGACACGCTCGCACGTTAACAGTTAGCTCTCTGGCCAAGCTCACTTTCCTCTTGGCTTCGAAGAGCTGCCCTGTTTGGCAGGCAGCCATCTTTACTCCCTAGTTCTGACTAACTAGCTAGTTGATTATTCATCAAAGCAAAGATGAATAAAGTCTCATTTTATTAATTTTTTTGAATTACTTTATTGCTCTTAACTAGCATGTGTACAATACATGCTTCCAATACAATAAAAAATTCTAAGACACACAAGGATAAATGGTGACAATTCTCTTTCCCAGCTTTGTCTTCCAGCTACCCAAGCTCTACCTATTGAGACAATTGCCATTACTAGTTTCGTCTATCATTCCTGAAATCTTTTATACAACAAGTGTGATTTTTCTTAAATAGATTTACAATTCATCTCATACAAGATGTCCTATTTTGCAAGTTGATTTTTTTTTTTTGGCTAAATGATTTTGGAAGTTCATACTAGCTTATACAGACTTCCCTTTATTTTTATTAATGTTGGGAGAGTATTCTGTAATTTATTTAATCAGTCCTGAACAGATGAATATTTAATGTATTTCTGATATTCAGTGATGCGACAATGAATATTTTATGCGCACATCATTTCTTACGTTGCAAAAATACACTTGGATAAATTCCTAAAAGTGAAACTGTTGAGTCAAATGGTATGAGCCTTTTAAAATTTTATTACAATAGCTAAATTATTCTCCATAGGAGTTATACCAATTTATATACCAACTAAAATGCATGAGATCACCACTGAGTTGGACTTTATTTCTATAGTCTCATCAAATAATGTCATAAAAATGTTTTATTTTTGACAATTTCTAAAAACTATATCTCATATTTTCTATTTCTCTTGGCATGATTAGATTTAGGGCCTTCCCATGCGTTTCAAGAATTAGTTGTATTTCTTTATCTATGAGTGTTCTGTTTGTAACATCTACCCATTTTTCTACTGAGTTGGTTTCTTATATTATGGAACTGTAGATCTTTATCTATGAGAAAAATTAACCCTTTGTCTGTATGTTGTAAGTATCCTCTCCAGTTTCTTATTGTTATTGCAGTGATTTTGATTTGAAAATAATGTTGATTTCCTCAAATTTTTTGCCTTTATATATTCTGGTTTTATTCCATACTTAGGCAATCTTGGAGAGTTTAAAAATAAAGACATGATTTCTTTTAGTATTTATGTGGTTATTCTTCAAAGTTTAAATCTCCAAGCACCAGAATTTATCTTGGCGTATAGTATGAGGGCTATACATTTGCTACAATACTTTTTATTGAATAATATATCTTTGCTTCACTAATCTGAAATGGCAGCTGTATTATATATTAAATAGAGTCCCTATCACATGGATCTATTTCTGGATGTTCTGTTGACTTGACAATCAATAAATATATAGAGAAAACTATTTTAATTGCTATACATTTTGTTATCTGGTAGGGCTAATTCTTCACATTATTTGTCTTTTCCACAATTTTCTTGGTATTCTTTAGGAACTTAGAATCATCAGTTGGCATTTTCCTCAGGACTGTGTTATATTTACAAGTTAATTTAGGGTAAATTTCTATGCTTAGGATTTGATTCTTCCCATCCATGTACACTGTACCTTTTTGAATTAGTTCTGGTCTTTTACACTTTCCCCCTCTTTTGGCAAACCTCTGCAATTTTTAAAAGTTTTTTTTTTTTTTTCCCATAAAGGTTTTTTTTTTTTTGAGTTAGGAAATATATTGCTATATGTTTAATACTATCACAAACAGGTCTTATTTCTAAACAGATGTGGTGATAAACACTATTGCTGTGCTCTATATAAAAATTCAAACTTTTTTTTTTGTTTTGGTTAAATGTTCAGTGCCTGAAACTTAGTAAACTCAGCTTGAAAAACTGACTAGGACTATAGCCACACATCACGCCTCTCAACTGCAACAAGGAAATACTGTCCTAAAATGCTTTGGCAGGAAAACAAAACTTACTAGATTTTTTTTTAGAAACTTTGCTTCATGTTAGAATCATCTTCAACTCTGGGAATATATGGATTCTAGTAGTGTTATTTTATATCTGAACAATTTTTATTAAGGTAAATCACAAAACTTACCTCCTAAGTTCATACCAGCTTGAAGACATTTCTGAAGTCTGCAGGCTGGACAATTCTTTCTTCGAATCTTATCAATGATACAATCATTTCTTCCAGCACATAAATAGTTGTGTTGCCCTGATTTAATAATAAAAAACAACTGTCAAAATAATACCTATTACATTAGTTTAAAATACTAATTAGTATAATCAGAATGTAAAGCTTCCCCTTCCCTGTCTTCAAATTGCTTCTTAAAAAGTAGAGGGAAAACATGGTTATAGATAACATGGACAGAGATGGTCAACTTAATGCAAATGAGGCTTCAGTTTGCATATGATAATAGTACATTTATTTCCAAATAGGTTCTAGATAAGAAAAGCCATCTTCCCCCACTGTTTGAATTTTGCTGATAGCTGCATGGATTCAGGAAATGGGGCAGATTTCCTTCAGATATCACAACCGCACCAATCCAAGGAAAGTCCCTACTGCAGCTCTTTAAGCTGCAATGCTTGCCTGCCATTGACATGTAATCTCACTTGGAAGACTTTCAAATTACACACTTGGAAATGTTTAACTTTTTCATTCTACAAATCTACCTGGAACTAAACATAAGTCAGATGTGCAAGCAGTCCAGACTTACAGAGTAAGGCTGGTAAACCATGAAATTGTAGCCTATCTCTATTATTCATTTATTTGTTTATTCAAAAGTATTTACTGAACAGCTATTAGGTATCAAGGATATGATAATGAACAAGACAGACCAACACCTCTGCTCTTAACTTTCATTTGATTTGCAGGACACGGACAACAGTCAAGGCAAAAGGACAACATGTATAAAAGATCAGACAGTAATGAGTACTGGGGAGAAAAATGAAAGGGGGATGGGTGGCTCTGCGAAGCACTGAAATTTTACAGTGCATGGCTAAGGCCACCCAGAAAGGTGACTTAAGTTAAGGTGTAAAATCCTTCAATTTAACTGTGGGGACATCTGGAATGGAAAACATCCCAGGCAGAGGGAAACCAAATGAGGCAAGGGAAGAGCAAGGACGTTGGTATGAATGAGTAGAAAAGAATGAATGGAAGAATGAGGGCACATGAGGACACAGAGCTACCAGAAACCAGACTATAGGACCTAAGAGGTCATAGTGAAAACTGTGGCTGTTACTGAGGACAGAAGCCACCAGACTAGAGAGCTTGGAGCAGGACCACCCTGGCTACTCTGTTGAAAACTGATTGCAGTGGACTAAAGTCAGAGCAGGGGGACCAGACTTAAAAACTGATCATTTCAATCTAGGGGAAAGATGAAAGTGGGTTGGTCAGTTGGTAGTGAGATGCAGTCAGATCCTGGATATACTCTGAAGGTAGAACTGCTAGGATTTGCTGACACTCCAGAGAAAAAGGGAATTGAGGAGGCATTACGATTCTTGGGTTGAACAACAGAAAAATGGAAATGCCATTGATTAAAATGGGGATGATGGCAGGAGCTTCTAGTTTATGGAGAATTACTTAGCTGGGTCTTGGGCACATTAGGTCTATGATGCCTGACAGGCCTCCAAGTGGAGGCGTTGGCAGTTAGACACACAGGTCAGGAGTTAGAAGAGGTACAATCAGCTCATGGTTGTTACTGTAAGTCATGAGAATGGGTGAGATCCTGTGGTGGTAAGCACAGACTACAAAGGGAAGAGGTCTGAGGACTCAGTCATGGGTCACTGAAAATATGCAAATGTAAAAGGGAGTCACTGATCACTGCAGTGCAGTGAACAAGTTAGAGCCCTTCCTTCATCCCTGTGCCAACACACCCTCTCTGGTGAGAATTACTAATTAAATATCCAACAAAAATTATGCATATTGCTTAGTGTAATTAGAATATTTTAATCTAGAACTCAATCCCTGTAACATGACAGTAAATCTCAGCAATAATAGTAACAATAGGAAAGGAATAGGAAAATCTAACAAAGTGAAAAAACTTAACCCCACCATTGTAATAACCTAAGGTATTTTACAAAAACTGAAGACTCTTAATGAGGAGTAGGTAATTGATATCCATACTAAAGATAATAACTGATTAATATAACAAAGAGGTTTCTATTTTTAAAATAAAAAAATTAAAGCCCTATTAGAGTATTATCTTATGTAAGCTTTAGAACAACTCTACAACATCAGTGAGGCAATTATTATTATTGCTTTTCTTCACAAAAAGAAACTCATGCTAGAACTGGTAAAGTGACTTCCAAAAAAGGTAGAGATGGAAGCACAATCCAGAAAGCCTGATAATATTGCTGTACCTTAAGGCTAGAAGATTTTTATAAAGAGCTAATTTGCAGTGGAATTTATTGGTGGTCTAATAGGATGCTGAATGTGCTCTTTGGAAATAAGGAATGTGCTTTGAATGAAGCCCACTTAACCAGGCAGAATTTCCACTGGCAAATGGCATTCTGTGTCTTTGTATGGTATGAAACTGCACACCAAACCACAGATTTCATCTAAAACTCACAACGAATTGAATAAACTTTGAGGCTAAAAAAATAACTAAGTGTAATTTAAATTTATTTCAATTCACTCAATATTTATGGGGAACTTCCTATATGTGCAAGGCTACAAAGCATTTCTATAAATGGTTATTTTGATGTAGTATAGGATTCTTTCCATTTCTGTGAACCGATAATAACAATAACCAAGTCTTTTAGCTTATAAGCATTCAAGAATGCGTAAGAAATGGTCACTGTCGTATGTATACCCTTCTCTGGATGTTCAAAAACGGAGATTTCCAAAAGCCAGGATTATTCTATAAGCATTGTTTTTACAACGAATACTTTAAAAAAACCCATGTGACTGTAACAACCACAGAAGATTTCCTTCCTGGTATGACAATCTATGTCCACACATGGGACAGGAGAAGTGTTAGCGGCCATTGCAGACAGGTCATAATAGATTTCAGACAATTTTGTCATGGATATTTTTAGTTGTATAAACATTAATCATTTAGATTGTATGTACACAAATGTGTAATGTGTGTCTCATCCTTTAATCCATTTTAAACAACAGCAATAGACACAGCAAAAATGAGTATGTATCTGGAAGACAAACTTTTGACAATATCCTTTATAAATGCTGTGCTCTCGCAGTGTTAAGAGAGCTAATTCAGAGTAAGCCACAGGTTAGAAAAATCATTGTGGGGTAAATGATTTTCTACTAAAATACTAACAGGGCAATCAATCAGATTGCTGGTGGCCAGACAGTGGTGGTCTTGAATGACAAGCTAAGAAATTCAGTTTTTGTTTGCTAGGCATTGGGATGTTACTGCAGACTCCTGCTTATAGAATATGTGGTCCAAGCAGTGTTTTAGAAATATTAGCTTTAAGGTTATAGAGAAGGTCAGCAGAATGGAGGTAGGAGATGCTATTAACAGTCTATATGAAATCTCAGGGATGGCCTCTGTGAAGGTTAGTAGCATAGGTAGCCATAGGAATAACCATGAGTTAAAAAGAAATCCCAGTGGTTAAAGAAGAAAAGCTTATTTCTCATTTAAGTTACATGTCCATTGTGAGAACAATTCCCCTTCTATGGATGGTGAACAGCTCGTATCAGGTAAACCTCCCACAGACACTGTGCACTAAAGGGGTGGGTGAAAGATCTGAAGGCATCTGGGAGTGGCCCAAAGCAGTTAGGAGGTGGAAGGAAACTGACTCTTGAAGAGAGAATCACACTTGGTAAGATCTTGTGTTTGAACAACTCTCTGTGTACCACAGGGTGGCAAGAGCCTCAGTCACATGGGTCTATGGAGGCAGAGATCAGACTTTGGGACTGTCCTACAGACAGACTTGAAGGAGAAAATCTGGAAAGCAATGTGAGCGGTGGGAGACAAAAATCTACATATTAACTTCCCTCAAATTGTTGTTTGCCTTGAGAAATAGTCATGATCCTCCAAGGGACTCAAGGGTAAATCGACAAGGTGAACCAAAATGTGAGCAGGTACGTGAGCTGATGTCCACCGTAAGGGGACACAGTGAACCCTCCTAAATAAAGATAGTTTAATTGACTACTAGAATAAAACTCAGTATCTTTCAGAGAAATAACAAAATCCAGAGTCTCTAGAATGAGCAGACTATAATAACTGTTAGAAGCATATAAAAACAGAAAAATAACTCAGTAGAAACAGACTAACAAATAACTCAGAGGCTGAGATTGGCAGATAAGGATTTTAAAAGTGATATGTTAGTGCATATAAGAAAAGATGACAAAAAGGGGTACAGAAATGAAGGGTTGATGTAGAAAGTGTAAAAATGATATGAGCACACACACAAACAAAAAGAAATGGAATTCTAAGGACTGATAAGCACAATATCTAAAATAAGTGTTGGTTTGAATTAGCGATATACTGGACACTCAACAAGAATGGATTGGTGGAGTTAAATAAATGCAAACAAAACCTTTGCACTGAAATGTACAGAGGGAAAAAAACGAAAGATGCATCAATCTTCTCTAGGACACAATTAGAAATTCAGTATACGTGAAATTGGAATTCCAGAAGGAAAGAAGGAAGAGAATAGGTCAGAAAAATAAGTGGAAACTTCCAAATTCAATTTAAAAAAAACACCAAAAGATAAGTGTAAAGAAAACACTACAGTACAACATAAATTTCTAAAATATGAATGTAAAGAGAAAAAATTTTAAAAGCATCCAGAGGTAGTAGGAGAATTACATTACACAAGAGGAACAAGTGTAAGAGTGATAAATAATTTTTATCAAAGCAATTGAGGTCAGAAAAACAATGTACAATATCTTTAAAGCCTGTCAACCTCAAGTCTATGACTAATGAAAGTACTTCTTAAAATCAAGGTGAAACAAAGACATTTTAGATAATTAAGAGCTAAGATAATTTGTTGCTGGCAGAATCACTTCATATGAAATGAAAAGGAATTATGCATGCTTAAGAAAACTAAAGCCAAGTAGAAATGTGGATGTACAGAAAAGGTGAGAACTGCAAAAAGTGAAAAATTTAAAGGAATTTTCTTTCTTAAATCTTTAAAAGTCAAATGACTTTCACACAAAAAATTTTAAAAACACAATATGATCCTTATAAAATACATATAATACAAAGTATGTGTCAACACAGCACTAAGAACACAGTAGATATA